GAAAAAGAGAGTTATATAGCCAAGCAGGGTGGTGCATGCCTGTAGTCCCAGCTACTCGGGAGGCTGAGGCAGGAGGATCACTTGAGCCCAGGAGTTTGAGGTTGCTGAGCTAGGCTGACGCCACCACACTCTAGCCCAGGTGACAGGGTAAGATTGTGTCTCCAAAAAAAAAAAGTTATAAAGGACATTTTTTGAAAAACTGAAGAAATCTGAATATGTTAGCTGTCAGTGCTAATTTCTTTGGTGTGAAAAAAATATTATGGTTATGCAGGAAGATACTTACAATATATAACTACTGAAAAGGCACTCATATCAAAAATACATAAGGAATTACTATGAATCAATTAGAATATGACAAAAATTCCATAGAAAACAGGTCAGGTCTACGGCCATGCCGCCCTGAACGCGCCTGATCCCATTTGACCTTGGAAAATAGGTTAGAGATGATCAAATAATTTTACCGAAAACAGATTAAACATGCAGGTAGCCAATAAACCTGTGAAAAGGAGACCAGCTGGATTCATCGTGACCAGAGGGCAGCAAATATGAAGAGAACAGACAACGCCAAACGACGGTAAGGATGTGGAGCAGGGGGGCTTCCACCAACTGCTGGCAGGTGGTCAACTGGTACAACCACTCTGGAAAAACACACTGTAAGTAGAACTAAAGACACAAAGACCCCATGAGAAAGTTCCAGGCAAAAACTAGAAATAACCCAAATTGTTCACCTGAGAAATTAAGAGCATTTAATGAAGAGTCTAACACCGAATTTGTCCGTATCCATCGCAAAGCCGGGCACACACAGAATCTCCCCCACAGAATGTAATCCCGCCCTTTATCCTGTCTTCACATACGCGTGACTAACGGATGCCTATAATTTCAGTCTGAAAACACATCCCAATGGCTTCCCATCTCACAAAAATAAAAACCAAAAACCTTACGATGATCTGGGACTGCTCTCCCCCCGACTCACTCTCATCTGGAGCCCTGACTAGAAAGTTCTTCTCTGAAACACCCTCCACATATCCTGACAGCTACTGCCCACCTACTTTCTGGTCTCTGCTCCGATGAAACCTAACACACAAGCCCTCCTGTAGTGCTCGCCCCTCACTCGGGTCCTTACATTCTCTCTCCCCCTCACCTCGCTTCTATTTTTCTACCTAGCCTTGCCCATCACCAAGTACCAGACATTTTAAATGTGCGAACCGCATGTCTTCGCCACTAGAGTGTGAGTGCCATGAAAGCAAGGACTTCCTGCAATTTGTTCATGTCTGCACACTCAGCAGAGCACGCGTGGCACGTAGCAGACACCCTCGGATTCCAGGCTTGGGGAGAATAGCTGTGATATGGCCTACACGGCTGACAGTTCCTTAAACTATCTGCCGTTTACTTCATCGCAAGAAATATAAAAACCCTTCATTAACTTAAATTAGCTGTTCTGCTTTATGAAAAATTTAAAATATTTGCTCTTAATGCATTTAATTCCCCTAAGTTCTATATCAGGAAAAGTATAAGCTATTCCAAAATTCCAAATGAGAATTATGTGAGGCACTCAATAATAAACAAATTATCCTAATGAATTTCTAATCTTACTATTATCCTGCAAATAAGCCCATGAAAACAATACTATCATATATATCACTTTTTTTAGTATTACAATAAAATCTCAGTAGTCCTGCTAATAAAAGATAACAGTATCTGGAGATACAAAATACACACATCCCAGAAACACAACCTTAGCCAAGAAACCAGAATTTCAACATAATGCAGTTCTAAGACAGAACCAGATTTAACAAAATCTAGTCCGAGGAAACCTCACTGGACAGACAGCCCAAGCCACTCCACGACAGTCCTCGATCACAGGATTCATGGCACAGGTCGTGGGGTCTAGACAGGCTCCTGAGTAGCTTACATTTTTCCACCAAACGTTTTACTGCTGTTGGTAAAAACAGAGTTAGTTAAAAGCAAAAAAAAAAGTTTTCCTCCTCTCCATCTTTTGACGGAGAATTAAGATTAAACAAAACCTCAGAGGGAAAAAAGGATATCAACTCTAAGTTGGTTGTTTTGACTAAATTGTATCTATCAGCTCTCAAGTAACCAAGAAATAAATCTGCCTACCTGTTGTTCAAACCAGCCATTTTTCAGGCTCAGAACGTGCTTAGCAGCTAAAATACAACATCCCAGTTTTTGCTAAAATTAATTAAGTTTTATCAATAGCCTGTATTGAAAAATCTAAAATCCTACCCAACCCTATTTCACAAACTTTTAGGTAATGTAAGAAATAAAACGGTGTGTTTTTAAAACAATGGTGCGTTTTCCTATATCGTGTGAATATTGACATACATATAAACATAACTGGAACCATACTATACATACTCCAGTTTTTAATGCCTACATAATTACACAATTATAAATAAAGCTGCAGGAAACCTTTCTTACATGTCTTTTTGCTAAATCAAAAAAGAAATAAACCAAAGCTTTAACTAAAAAAAAGTTTCTGAAAACGTTTCAGCACTGAGTCTGTAAGTGAAAGTGAAAACAACGTTAAAAGATCCGGTCCACTGACTACAGACGTCCTCGCTCATTGGGACTGACTCATTCGTGCCCCTTGTGTGGCCTCTTCCTCAGGTTGCCGATTTTTGTGCTTTTTATTCAGTGCTCCAGAAACTAAACAAGGAAAAAAACGACAGAGAGGGACCCAGGTAAAACTTGTTACAGCCTTAGCTGAATTTTTTTTAAAAAGAACAAAACTGATGAGCCACATTTAAACCACATTCCCCACCAGCCTCTCTCAACCGAGGTTCCCAGAGATAACTGGGCCCTAAGCCGAGGGCACCCATCGCAGGTAAGGATGTCACTGCTCTCTCCGCACCTAGAGCCAACCGGCTAGGCACCAGCGCAGGGAAAACCGACGAAACCACCATTCAGCATCATTTTCTTCAAGGTTTAATTCTCTCTCGTGGAACCCAGACAGGGAAAGGCCATTAACAGCACGTTTGATTCAACGTATATAAAGGAATAGCAGCTGCCACACCAATGTGAAGCTACCGTGACATCTTTCCCTTTTCCATTCGGAACATCACCGTGCTTCTACTTTATACCAGAGTTCACTGTGCTCCTGCAATGAGGGTGGTTTTAGGGCCTGAACAGAGTCCCTCACGAAAATGTTTAATTTACTGTTTACTATGTGAAGTTTTCCCATACTAAACCACAACTAAAGTACAGCTATCTCACCGGTTTATTTCGTGGCCTTGTGGGTCTCCTATCCACTGAGGCAGATCCTTCTATTAAATACATCGAGTCACTGACTGAGGGGCTTTCTCATGAACTGGAGAACAACTTTATATGCCGATGATAGGTACGCACGTGCTTATTTCATGTGCCAAATTTACATTAACACAGAAAAATAATTTGGCAATGCAGCCAATGTCCGCTGAAAACAGTCCACTCGGTTTCCCGCAGGACCGTAAGTGAAAAGGCGGTTAGCTCAGATGTTACTCAACACCGAACCAGAAAGCTGTTCAGAGCACCCCAAAAGTATCCTTTGTATTTCAGCAGCACTAACATCAGAATAAAGCCAAGGATCTCTCTCTCTAACGTGCCAAGTGGGAAAAACATATCAAGTCAGCGTTATGCACACGGTATATACATATATATGAAGGAGGCAAAGTAACCCCCTACAGCCGAAAGGCAATGGAAGCACCATCCTGAGGGTCTGTTTCACATTTTCTAAAAAAAAAAAACAACAAAAAAACGTAAATAGTTTTGCCAAAAGCGACAAGTTTTCATAAAGGACTGTTTTTTCTTTCTTCTTTTTCTATTTTTCTTTAAAAGAAAAATTAACATCCATTAATGTCTTACAATTTAAACAAGCCAAACTAGTGGAATTTTTAAAACCTTTATTTTGGAAAAAAGGAACCAAGTTTAAAACCCAACAGTTGTACGTGGTATTAGAGAAAAATGGCTGAGAAAAGGAAACCCAATGCACAAAATAATTTAAACCAACCAGAACAAAGTAGGAAAGATTCCCACCAGCTCATCCCAACAGGTGGTTTCCAAGCAAAGCAGGGTTTTTTTTAAGTTCTATGAAAAGCCCTATCTTTGAATGGAGTATATTTAATTGAGTATATTTGCTGAGTATATTTATTACTGAGTATACGTACCTAAGTAAATAGCCATTTTTATACAGGAATGGTCCATAGAAAAAGTCAGGGGCTCTCAAACTATTTATAGTTTTGAAGCAACTTTCTCAGTCTATGATACTCTCTCCCAATACACCATAAGACATTCTAAGTAAATTAAATATTGCATTTCAAAGAAAGAATCTGCAGATACTTCAGGAGACAGAACCAACCTGAAATACCACACAATGCACGTGAAAAATCTCAAATTTAGCAATGCAACTCTTTCTTAAATCGGGTATACTTTTTTTTTTTTTTTAATGTACGCTCCCGTTAAGAAATGCAAAACTTTCTCCCCTCGCCACTGGTAGTTGAAAACTCACTGTGCAACTAAATTTTTTTAAAAATAGCATTCTACTTTGGCAGATACTCAGTAACCCACGCTGGGACTGCACGCGCAGCAGCACATTGTTGCAAACGCGGCGAAACTTTTAAGTGCAACCGCACGCAGAGCAACAGAGTTTACATTTTAGGCAACGTTTGGATAATAACAAGCTAAATTAAATTAAGGGGAACGCTCCCACCTACAGCGTGCGTCCCACGCACCCACGCAAGCTTGAAGTTTGCAAACTCACTTTTATGCACCGGTTCAACAGACGGTCACACCCCTCTTCCCCATCTCCCCCCACGCCCCCTAAGGTCAAAGGGCTGGGGACAAAAGACAACAAGAGCACGTGACTGAAGTTTCTCCCACACTCTCCCCCTCGGGACCGGAGGCCGCGCTCCGGCCGGTGCGGGGTCGGGGGTCGGGGCTCGGGGGGAGCCGGAGCGGCCCCCGGGACCGCGGCGACGGGCGGCCGGGCGGGCGCGGCCTGTTACCTTTTCCTGCTCCTCGCGCAGCCTCGCCAGCTCCGGGGCGCGCGGCGGCGCCGAGGCCGAGGCCGGGGAAGAAGCCGGGGCCGGGGCGCGGGGCTCGGGGCCCGACGGGGCCTGCATGGCGGGCGCGGCCTCAGCGGGGCGAACGAGTCCTGAACCAGTGTCTGCGGGGGCGGCGGCCCGGCGCCCGCGTGCTCGCCCTCATGCGCCGCGCGCCCGGCAACCGGGGGCCCGCGCCCGCCTTCGCCGCTGCCGCGGGGGCCGCTGCTCGCGTCCGCGCTGCCCGCGGCCGCATCTCACCGGCGCATGCCGCCCGCCGCCGCCACCGCCGCCGCGGGCTCGGAGCACAGGCCGGAGCCGGACGCGCCTCTGAGGTGGCCCGGCCCAGCCTGGCGTCCCGCGCCGCCGCAGGCTCCGCCCCCGCCCCGCCCCGCGCGGCACGTCGGGAAGCGCGCGCAGGCTCCGCCCCACGCAGGCTCCGCCCCGCGCGGCTCGTCGGGAAGCGCGTGCCGCCCGCAGGCCCCGCCCCCAGCCCGCCCCGCGCGGTACATAAGGAAGCGCGCTCGCTGCGCCACCCGCAGGCCCCGCCCCCGGCGCGTCCCGCGCGGCACGTCGGGAAGCGCGCGCCGCTCGCAGGCCCCGCCCTCTCCCCGCCCCTCAGCCTCGCAGGCCCCGCCCCCGGCCCGCCCCTGGCTGCACGAGGACGGCGCAGAGCGGCTGGGCCTGGCCGTCCAGCGCACGACCGCGTAGCCGCGACTGCCCCGGATCTGGCGCCGCGTCTGCTGGCCGAAGCTGAGTCCATGCACCGAATTATTTCCCAAGCACGTTTAATTTTAGCAAATTCACTTGTTCTCTGTGCCTTTCTAATGAATTAAAATATGCAACTGTAGTTTGCACGCGTGTTGATGACTGCACACCATGCGTTTCCTTATGCGTGTACGGAGCTGCTGTCCTGGCATCGACATGCTGGGGGGAACGCACTAGGAAGTTCGCAGGCGAGACTTCGCCCCCACTTTCCTCTTACTTTTTATTTTTATTTTTTTGTTGTTGTGTCCCATGTCAGAGGAAAAGAACCTTCCTCTCTTACTTTGGAGCTGCCTGGAGGCTCCTGAGAAAGTTCTTCCTCATTCTTTGGTAGCACTTCCATAGGGAATCTCTCCATCCCCTTGGCCAGGAGGCACAGAGTAGGTAGCCGTGTGTATTTCAGGCAGCTCTCCTAGACCACCTGGACACCTCCTAGACGACCTGGACACCTCTATCAGACCACCTGGACTCATCCGTTAGACCACCTGGACTCCTCCGTTAGACCACCTGGACGCCTCCGTCAGACCACCTGGACACCTCCTAGACCACCTGGACACCTCCTAGACGACCTGGACACCTCTATCAGACCACCTGGACTCATCCGTTAGACCACCTGGACTCCTCCGTTAGACCACCTGGACGCCTCCGTCAGACCACCTGGACACCTCCTAGACGACCTGGACACCTCTATCAGACCACCTGGACTCATCCGTTAGACCACCTGGACTCCTCCGTTAGACCACCTGGACGCCTCCGTCAGACCACCTGGACACCTCCTAGACGACCTGGACACCTCTATCAGACCACCTGGACTCATCCGTTAGACCACCTGGACTCCTCCGTCAGACCACCTGGACACCTCCTAGACCCAGAATGAAGTTCAGTCTGTGGCCGGCATAGCGGAGAGACAGGGCCTGACTCCTTGCCTACATCACAGAGCTTGACTCAGCCTGAGTCCACTTGCTCTGACGTCTGCAATTGCTCCGGACTCCAGGTTTAAGAGGCCAGTGAGTTTCCTGGTTGAGCAAAGCAATCCGCGGCAGGTTTTCCATCACTAGCAGCCAAAGACATCTGATTCACACACCCCTAAACTGCTCTCCGCCCAGCAGCCTGCCCGAGCTTTTCAACAGTGATCAGATCACATCATTCTCCTTTTCAGAGTCCTCTGTAGCTTCCCACTGCAGCTGGAATCAAATCTAGACTCCCCGCCAGAGTTCTGCGTTACCTGATCCACCTCTCCCACCTCCTCGCAAGAACTCCAACCATTCATGCCAACCGCAGCAGTTTCTCTCTTCTTCAGACACTCAGCGGCTTTGCACCTGCTGATCCCTCTGCCTGCAACACTTCTCCCGGATCTTTGCACGGTTGACTCTTTGGCGCCTACGCAGGCCTCATTTCAAGTAATAAAGAGGCTTTCCTGATATTCTGTCCACAGAAGCCCTTCCCTTCTCCTCCAGGCCTATGCCGTCAATTTTTAAATTTTTTTCATAGTTACTTATCATACTTCACGATGCTCGATTTCGTCTGTTTCCGTGCTAGTTATCATCTCTCTACACTAAAACAGCAAATCCCTGAGGGCAGGGATGTTCTGTACACATTGGCGGCTTCCTTCCACTAGACTCAAGAACCTCTGCTCATAGTGCTGCCCCGGCCCTTTCTTGGTCTCTGCTCTGTAGCCTTCCTGCTAAGCACAAAAGACAGACCCACCAGATCTGTTGCGGGGAGGCTGTTTAAACAGCAGGAAACAGACCAGCCTGTGCCAAAATGTTTCCCGATTAATATGAGAATGTCGTATGTGGCAGCAAAAGAACTTGGACTTTAAACCCAGACAGAACCAGGTTCTGTTGCCATCTCTCCCACTTACCTGTTGAGAAGCCACAGGCAAAAAAACGCAACCTCCCTCTAAACTTTAATCACCTGCACAACAGTGGTTAGACTAGTACCTGCCTCAAGGTTTTCCTGAAAAACAAAGGCCATCACGAATGTAAAAGCTTCGTCCTTCTAAAATCCTTCAAAGTGGCCAGGCCCAGTGGCTCAGGCCTGTCATCCCAGCACCCTAGGAGGCTGAGGCAGGAGAATCGCTTAAAGCCAGGAATTCAAGACCAGCCGGGGCAATATAGAGAGACCCCGTCTCCACACACAAAAAATTAAAAATTAGCCAGGCATTGTGGTGTGCACCTGTCATCCCAGCTACGTGGAAGGCTGAGGCAGGAGAACAGCTTGAGCCCAGGAGTTGGAAGTTGCAGTGAACTATGATCATACCACTGCACTCCGGCCTGGACAACACAGTAAGACTCTCTTAAAAAAAATTTTTTTAATTTAATTGAAAAATAAATAAAATCCTTCAGATTATAATCGCTTATCCAGGGGAACATCAGCCACCCCCAAACACCTTCAATAAAACAAAGTTAAATTTCATCAGATATTTGTTGCCCCTCCTCCACGGGCTGGGTCCTCCACGGGGGCATGGGGACAAGAGGTGACTAAGGCAAGCCCCAGCCCTGTCCGTAGACAGTGGAGGCAACAGAGGGCCACAGACCTTAGACGAGGTGCTACGATAGCATGGGAGGCTTGTTCTTACCCACACGGTCAGAAGAGGATGATCCCTGACGTCAAACTCCCCAAACGTTCCCTGTGCACACCCCGGCGTTGCACACCCGCAGCCTGCGTCCCGGGCTGTCCCCCGTGCAGTGGAATCATCTGTGGAGCAACCCCTCAGCGCTACGCTCAGGGCGTAACGGGCCCCGAAGCCAAAGGCCGCAGCTGCTACCTCACTCTTCCTCCTGAGAAACTTACTATGATTTTTTCGTTACTTACGGTGATTATTTCATCGACAACAATCATACCGAAAAAAACGTCATCTCGGATAGAGAAGCATACCAACACCGCGCTGCTTTCCTGAGAAGCAAAACTAACCTGATGAATTACGCTTCCCTGCACGGATCTATCAGCGGCGGCCTCGTATTTTTCTAATCTCTTTCTCACTGCTGTTTCTCTCCTCCGTGATACACGTGGCCCAGCCGTGACTTTGCTCATCATTTACATGCAAACCAGGACTCCGGGGCTGCAGTCATCTGTTCTCTGGAGGAAATGAGGTCGATGTTCTCTTTTGCCAGCTGCGTATATTACTGACCTGGTGGCTGTCCCGGCCCTGAGGGCCTCCTGGTCTGCTCTTCCCGTAAACGTACCGAGGCACTGGAGCAACAGTGCCGTATATCACCACGATGTACAACGGCCTCGGGTACTAGAGAATTACTTTCCCTGGCTTCCCTCGAATCCCTCTGAGCTATGCTGGGCCTTTGCTGAGGGCCCGGAGGCTGGCACAGGCAGGCAGAGAGACCCTCGCGCGGCACACGGCACGGGAGGAGGAGTAAGAGGCGAAGGCAGGTCGGAAAGAATCCCATTTCTCAGACCGGAAGACCAAGTCTCTGAAATTTGAAGTCAACCTGAGAGGTGAGCAACCGGCCTCCCTGGCTATTCTTAGGGTCTGCACGTTTTTCTCTTGTTTACATTTACAAGCAGTGTATGAGGTATAACCCATGGTGCTCTTTCATTATGATTTTCTTCCTTTTCCAAATGAAATGCTTTTTCTTTCTGTTTTTTAAATTACAAGAGAAAAATCAGAAAATACAAGGAAGCAGAAAGAACTTAAAGAAATCCAAAATACCATACACTCGGAGAAAGACGCCGTCGTCCTCTCTGTGCAGGTCCTTCATTATTCCTTTATGTCATTCATTCGTCCATTTAACGAAGGTGAGTTACTAATTTGAGTAACTAATGTGCCAGGTGCTATGCGAATGTTAGATACAAAGTCATCAGAATATCGTTCCATCCCTAAAAGAGATCAACCAAGTGATCAATAAGCATTATACCCGAAGTTTTTCTGTATATACCGTTATCCACAGATGTAGATATATTCTTTATAAAAAATGGAATCATATCATAGATGCTATTAACCTAATTTTTGGCCTAACAGACTAGAAAAATTTTCATGTCAATAGATTCGTTTCAGAACAACAAAACAAACTCTAGAACTGAACCTAACAAGAATTGTGCAAAACCTACGTGAAGAAAACCAAATAATCGTAACAGAAGATAACTAAAGTAAGAATTTCTAAAAATCAAGATGTAAATCATAGGCAAGGATTCGATGCTGTCAAACTGAGTCTCTACAAATTGATCTATACATTTGATGCAATCCCAAACAAAACCCACATACATTTTGTGATAGATTTGTTAATATTCTCAAGTTTATTTGGAAGACGATTGCC